ATTAAAATGAAGGAAAGAAATGAATTACTTGACAGTGAAAATGAATGAAAGAACTGAATTACTTGACAGTTAAAATGAATGAGAGAATTGAATTACTTGACAGTTAAAATGAATGAAAGAGAATAATTTCACAGAAGTCCACTTTGGAAGGCAATGAACCCTCCACCTCTCCATTTCCCAAGTGACAGTCCTAGGACTCCTATGTTATAGCTCCATGCAGCTTTTTGGGAGGGAAGTTGACATGATATGTCCTCATTTACTTGATACCATATAGAACAGAAACTGGCATGGAAGAATACCTGAACATAGAGCTCTGGGACATTACGACCTTCTGGTTCAAGAAAAATCTGATGTGACTCCTTATCTTCAAATCTCACAATCTAAAGTAACAAAGTGTCAAAGCAGCAACATGAAAAATGAAAGGTAAGTAACATAATGGAAGATTTCAAATTAAATATTAAAATAGAAAAAAAGATTAACTCAATCAATATTTCAAACAAATATGGTAGAATTAGTACAACATCAGCAATAGTAGAATACCTCACACATAATTAACTTTAACTTCATTAAAGGCACACTATCTATTAGAATATTTCAAATATGTACCTTATCTTCAATGGAAGGGCAGTACCTAGGCCCCTTAGCTTCAACCCATCCTCCATAAGTAGGAGTTTCATTCAAGTTATCCTTAATAAGCTGGTGAGTAATCTTTGTAGTACGTGTCAGATAACAGCACATTTGCTCCCTTTCAATGTGGAAATCAGGATCAAAACTAAACCAGCTGACCTGCAAATAACCAGTCACATTTAGAACTCAATTCCCAATGCCTTAATTCACCAGTCACCTCCATCCACCATTGAGCAGTGCAAGATAATGAGATTATTACATTATAAAAGAAGTCTTTGATCTTTTTAAAAGAAGAAAACCAAACTAGAAACCTTGTGGAACCAACACATCCACCAATAGTGAAAATATTTCTATTATTGAACTTTTAAGCAGCAGGCCTGTCTGTCTTACTGCATCAAATTTAATAAAGCAATTAGAAACAGCGTGTGTACCAGTTGAAGCTTATGAAACATGATTTAGAATCTTCAATGATCCAAAATTCAGACCACTGAACCTATAAATGGGATTAAAAGGAAGGACCTCTTCATCTCCACGCTGAAGTTCCAATCCAGAAAAATCAACAGTTCGACAATCCACTCGTGCTGGGGTGCCAGTTTTCAACCGATCAGTTTCAAATCCCAGGCGTTGCAAATTCTCAGTCAGTCCATGTGATGCAGACTCACCAGCTCTACCTGCCGACATCGAAGTTCTACCCACCCAGATCTTCCCACTCATAAAAGTTCCAGTTGTGAGAATAACAGAAGGTGCAAAGAATTTCATTCCAAAGAATGTGAAAACACCTTCAACATTGTCATTCTTTCCAAGCAAGATATCTGTTACCATTGCCTCTCTAACTGAAAGGTTTGGAGTGCTGAAATGAGCCAGTCAAATAAGTTAATTAAAAGATAGAACAAAATATGCACTTACAATTGCAGTGCACATTCATTATGTGTTTGACTCAGGCTGTTCCATTGTACTCACCCTCTGTCCCCAAATTCCTTCAAAAAATTAGATATTTGGAAACATGGAGAAATGTTGAAAACAAAATTTATCTGTCAGTCAGGAACACAACTTAACTTGTCTACTGGATAACAGTTAAATGGCTTCATATGGTACTTCTTCTATCAAGTAGCAAGTAGGTGGGTCCATTGATAAAAGTAATACCAAATCAAACCACAAGTGTAGATATACATAAACTTAAAACTGAATAACAGCAAACTTATAAAAAACATGATTTTATTGAACATACTTTCTTCTTCTTCTTTTTTTTTTTTTTTTTTTTTTCTTTCTCTGATGAATCAAAATTATATTACTTGAGAGTACAGGGTACTCTAACCCTAATCATAAAACTCCTCATCGTACAGCACAAGAAATAGCAAAAACTAAATGAATCACCACGTAACTAACAGCAAATCACACACTTATGCTTTGTTTAGTATGGTTGTATTTGTTGGTTTTTAGCTTTGGTTTTCTCAAGTTTTGCAACTTTTGAAAACCATAACTAAAAATCAGACACTAGCAAATTATTTAAAATAAGTTTTTAACACTAACAATGAAAAATATGAATTTGTTTAGTAGAATTAAAAATTTTTTTATTTAGCTAATAATCATAATAATATGTTGCAAAACACATAAAACCAAACAAGTCTTTTTGTTTAGAATTGCAAAATTATAAAAACCAAAACAAAACCAAAAACCACAACTAGACTAAATGGAGCCTTAGTTAAAAAGAAAATTACTTTTCTTGACTCAATATTTTGACTTCACAAAATTGAAAAGAAATATAGAAGACCTTTACTTGCAATACATGCGAAGAAATGATATGATACTTCAAAAGCACAAAAGTAAGAAATGGATAGAACTTAAGCTGAAGCAATCAATTTAGCTTAGCTAAGACATTTCAGATGTGAACTAGCAGCAAGGTTTGTCCAGTTTACTTGTCAAACATGAATTCAAGATATGGAATTTCAATCCTCGAGTACGTTAGTTCCACATTGGGATTCTAAGAAGTGAAGAGCACAGGTTTCAATATTAAGAGCAATCAACAATACAAAAAAGATGAGAAGTATTCCCTCCATCTCAAATTATATGTCATTATAACTAACTTGCACATAACTTTAGATAATGCTTTTATATAGCATATGAATAGTAATTGAAAATGTTTTTTAATCAAATGAAACTACTAAAAAAGAACTACACATGCAAACAAAAAAATTTTCAATTGTCATTCATATGCTATATAAAAGCATTATCCAAAGTTACGTGCAAGTTAGTTATAGTGACAAATAATTTGAGACGAAGGGAGTATAATGATTCTCAATCCAACATCCCTAGAACCCCATTTTAGGGGAAGAATAACAACTTAATTCTAAGTAAACACTCAGTCACAGCCATTAATGAGGAAAACACATCAAGATAAGCAATAAAGGTTTAGTCATCATCATTAGATCTATTGCTAAGAAGTTTTTTCCAAAAAAATCATCATAAGCAAAAAAATTCAATAAAAGATCACCCTAAACCATATGATTTCAGATTAGCCTGTTAGTCTAATTTCTATTTTGAATTCAGGACTCACTTTTTATAAGCATTAATATAGATCTAAAGATAACAGCTTTAAATTCACTGCTACAAAAGCATGGAGAAAAAAACAGGTGACAAAGAGAAATAAGCATGCCTCTCCACTATGATTTTCATTGTCAAAGCATATTCCCTTTTGTCAGTCTGTGCACGCAAAGCCCACACTGCTGGACCTCTTGAGACATTGAGAATACGTTTCTGTAAATAACACCTACAAGTACAAAAATAAAAAGGGTAATTAATGGTTAAATGATATGAAGAATGCAACTCTCATCAAGATTGAATCCAATGTAGAGGATATTTACAACTGCTCTTAAAATATTTTAACAAATATTATATCATAAAAAAGAGGAATAATAGAGGTGAAACTAAGGAGAATTACACTAGGACTTGGTTCCCTAGTGAGCAACCACGGAAAAGGTATGCAGATTCCAGAAAATTACCTATCAGAAACCTTTCCAATTTCACCACCAAGTGCATCAACCTCATGTACAAGTTGAGATTTTGCAGGTCCTCCAACTGCTGGATTGCAAGGCTGTACAAAGGGTATCCCAATAGGAATGAGTTCCTATGAATTTATCCAAAAACACTAAAAGAACTATTTGATACAGAGGAGTTGGAAATGAAAACCTGCCAAGCAATTCGATCAATATTTAGCGTGAGAAGCAGAGTTTTTGCCCCCAGCCGAGCAGACGAAAGTGCAGCTTCACAGCCAGCATGCCCTCCTCCAACCACAATGACATCATACCTCTCATCATCTACTCCCCAATGGCCACTCGACTCTGCAAGTTGCCAGTGAAACATCTACTAATAGTCATATATCTTCAAAACAAAACCTGTTTGATGAAATTACTGAAACAAACCAAACATGGAAAACGGAAGAATATTTTCTAACCTTGAAAACTTGAATTGATAGCGGATACAGACGAGTTGCGGAGTCGAGGTAGATTGTTGAGGGTGGAAAGGATGGCGATGCGGCGGACAGTGCCGACAGAATAATAACGAAGAGGTCTGGTTGGGAGATGGAAAGAGGGGCGGAAGAGGGATGGGGAAGAAAAAGAGAAGTGGTGGCGGGTCAGACGACAGAGGTGGCCGGTACTGGTTGTCATTGTGTAGTCTTGTTTCCGGGATTGAATTACGTCTGTCTCATCCAAGGAGCAACGGGACAGCCGAATTGGATGGTGAAGGAACCTGATTGTTTTTCTTCCGTTTTTGAGAGGCTGATATTTGAGAATCGGTTTTCTCTACATGGCAAGTGTCTTTAAAAGAAAAAACTAGTGGTAAGCCCCTAGACTTTTCCCATTTTCTCACATAAGCCTCAAAGAAAAAATATGGAATGTGGAATGTAAGTCCTCACGTGCAATCTTTAAAATTAAAGGTTAAAATATCAATTTGATTCCTCAATTTTAAGATTTGTACTAATTAATTCTTAAACTTTAAAAAATATATATCAAAAATATCTTTAAACTTTAATTTTCGACACCAATTTCATCATTCCATCAATGAAATTAACAAATGATAATTAAGTTGTTGAAAACCACACATTTTAAAAAATATAATGATGTGGCAAAAGAAACTGGCATAAAGTGAATTCATAGGGCATTTTTAATCTGACATTTTTAACCTGACATGGACAAACAAAAGACCCACCTATTTATAAATTACATTTTTTAATTAATTAATTAAAAAATATATAAATAAATTTTTTCAAAAAGACAATTAATTAAAGAGTTTGTGTACATATTAAGGGTACAATAAACATAATTTTTAATTAATTAACATAAAAAATTATAAAAATTAACATTTATTTTAATACTATTAATAAGTGGATAATTTTAATTAGTTCATTGATTAATTCAAAGTCAACAATTATGCTTTTTGTTCAAATTAATTATAATAAAATATATTAATTATACCCCATAACTTGTACTTTAGGCATACATTAGAAATTCCCTTAATTAAAAAATACTATACTAATTAATTTATTGAATTAAGATATTATATTATTAACCAATCAATCAAATAATCAACAATAAATTTAAATTATCAGTTACCTTTAATTAAACAAAATCAAACAATCTAGCAGATTTAGGAATTATCTCCTTTGTTCATCTTCTTCCATATTCATCTTCTTCCATGTTCATCTTCTTCTTAGTCTATATAAATTTCTCAACACAATGAAAGTTTCTCTTATCATCCTAGATTTTCTTAGAAACCAAACATATTTTACCAAGGAAATTTTCTTTCCACCTCCAATTTTGTTAATAACCAAACAACAAACCATATCATCAAAATTGTAAACAATCCAACAAAATTTTATAAAAATTCATTATCTTCTTTCTCTTTCCTTCTTCCTCTTTCTTTTTGCTTCTTCCTCCTCCAAGTTCAAGAACACAAATCTAGGTTCTCCTTGGTAACTCACAAGTTCTCTTGGAGAACCTAGATTTGGGTTCTCCTTCAACAGATTAAAGGAGGGGGAAGAGAAGGAAGAAGAAAGGAGGAGAGAGAAAGAAGAAGAAAAAGGAAGGAGGAAGAAGGCTGAAAATTAAAGAACCAATGCCATGTGAAGAGAGGAGGGCTGCCCAAATCTACATGATGGAGAACTTGTGTGAGGTGATGCCAGAGGAGTTAGGTAGAGAAATGCTAAAGGAAGAGGAAGAAAGAAAGAGGAAGAGAGAGAAAGAGGGGAGACAAGGAAGACGAATGGATTAAGGTTGAAGATGGTTATTTTTTGTATATTATTATATTTAATTAATCGTGTGAGAGGATTTTTTTTTAATATTTGTAGGTTTTTTTAGGCCAATGATTGAGGGGTAATTTTTTTGTATTATTTTTTTTTATAATTTTACATATCATTTAAATAATTAACTCTTTTTATTCCATTAAGGCTTGTAATACTGAGTGTATTCACTTATTTAAAACATATAAAAATTATATAAAAAATTATGTAAAATGATTATCCTTATATCACTACCCAATATTTAAATACCACATGCATAGTGAAAATTATCTAGATAAGTAAAGCAATATATTTATAAATTTTCACGTCATGTTTGATAGTAAAAGTCAAAAATTCTCAAGACTTAAATGTGACCTACTAGTGTGACCTATTAGCATTCTGTTAATGGAAGGACCAAAACAGTACGAAAAAATCAAGTTTAAAGAAGATTTTGGTATGTTATAAAGTTCAAGAACAAATTTAGTAAAATTTTGAAAGTAAAGGGACTACATTAGTATTTTAACATAAGTTAAACAATTGTTTGTTTTTTGTTGTTTATGTGGCAATTTCTTTACATTTAGATATTGATATGACATGAGACTCAATTGTTTAGCTCTTAATTTTGAGAATTTTGAGCTATATGATGCAGATATTTAAGTGAAAACAATTGTCATATGATGTAGCCATTTAAGTAAAAAAGAATTGTCGTATTAGCAACTAAGTGTAAAAAAATGCTCATGCAAGTGAAAAAAAACAAAAAAACAAAAAACAAAACAAAAGCAAAAACAAATGATTATTTAACTTAAGTGACCATATGTCATTTTACTGTTAACACGATGACTAATTTGCTCAAATCTTAGCATTTAGAGGCTAGCATGCCCTTTTTTTTTTTTTTTTCTTTCAAGGCTTATATGAGAAAATGAAAAAGGCCCAAGGGCTTAATATTTGGGTTTTACCTTTTTTAAACGGTCCCCAGTGGTTGAAAGTTGGCAAAAGCCTAAAAATAACCCTTACTTTGATAAGTTGGACGGTTTTGGCCCCTCACCTTATAATATAATGGTTTTAGCCCCTAACCTATAAGAATGAAAGAAAATAGCCTTTTTTTGTAACTTCCGTTATAGGGCTGTTACCGTCTGTCACTTCCGTCCCTTCCTCCATTATATTTCCGTTAACTTTCTCAAAGCTTCTCCAAGAAGCCTGCTGCATTTTTTTTGGGAATTCAAACCTTTTTTTTTTTTTTTTT